GAAAAAGTTACATATATGATGGAGTTATCCCAGCTATAGAATAATGCTAATAGAGCTCTGAACAACAYGGCCTTGTTATTCTTATAACCTGTTACTAATTCTGAGGTGTGCTTTACATTGAAGTTTGTTTTCRTATATTTGTCTGTTTGACKTATAGTGAAGGAGAGGATGTGGTCATKTGACTTATAGTGRCAATTACCCAGGCTATCCCTAGACTAACAGCCAGAAATGAAAATGGCCCTGAGGAGACTACTCCATAGACTATAATAAATACAATCCATGTAACTTTAGAATTTTTAGGAGGTGTTTTAAAATGCTATATAATATATTTATTGCATTTGAAATTCTAAGCTTATACCTACCTACAATAATGAAGTAGAAGGCAAATATTATCCCTAAACAGCATGTTACAGTATAAGGAATGTTTAAGGTGTTGTTGATAGCATAAATCTTGAATTGCGCACAATCCAGRGATTGTGTTTCTATCCTTATAGTTTCATTTGTTGGCTTTACAGTAGTTGAAGGTGTTGTTGTGTTGATSGCTGTTGAAACACCAGTCAAAGCTGATAATATCAGGGCAAAGACAAACATCTGAAAAATAAAAGCAAAAAGTCTGATTTAACGGATCTCTGTTAAATAATAACTTGGAGACCAGAGCAGGCCAGTTCAGGGGAGATGGGATCATCCATTTCCTGTTGTCATCTGACATGATATGTACATGTAGAACCGCAGGCCACTCCCTGTCCAAGACACACACAAAAAAAATTTTATCGGTCTTTTATCTAAATTGTAGAGCCTGTTTAAGACAGCAAGGCCAAAAACCATACCGTGGGCAGTGGCACGTCCCCGTATATCAAATATACTGGAGTCCACTTCAAGGGTAGGATGATAAAATAGAAGGATGATAAAATAGAAGCATATTAAACTCTCTTACAGTCAATGAAAAATGAATCAATGAGAAACTATTACAAGTACTATTTTCAAACAAGTATAGGAAAAATTACATATTAATAATATTAAAAAGACTATATTTAAAAAATCTGAATGTGAACAAACTCTCTGCTCTCTTAGCTCTGTATWGTTTGACATCATTATACAGATAAAACTTTGGGATGCTCTAGTAATAATTACTATATACTGTCACACTCATATTATCCCAAATATTTCAATTAACAGCTTTTTAGTGCTACTGCATTAAAATGCAAATTTTTGAATGATCACGCCCATTCTCAGGGTGCTTATGAACAACATGCCAGACAGACCGTAAAGCCAAATGTCTACGTTGACCATCAAAAAATAAATAAACACTCGKTTTTAACACTGAAGGAAACTCAACAAGTGATTTTTATGTTATTCTTTCCCTAATGATCATCTGCAAGTGTCAGGTATTTACTATTATAATTGTGGCTTATAGACAGTAAATATCGTATGGAAGTGGGCATTGCATGGGATCACTGCTTGCCTGCATATATATTGGCCTTAGTGCAAATTGAGGAGAGCTTCCAGGAATACAGTGTTAGCCTAAAACTAGACAAGATTGTAAAAATGACAAAAACATTTTTTTGTGCTTTCTTTTGTTTCTTGTGTCACTAYAGTCAAATAAAGTAGTGGTCCCTCTCTTAGAATGGGAAACAGTCAAACTAACTAAACCACAATCATGATCCTTTTGAAATTATTGCTAATCTTTCATATTTTATTTTTTCATATTTCAATCATCCTTGTAATAAATTTATTATGAGTTTGGTCTCTGCATTTCAATCATATCCTGCCACCAAGATGTAAACAAAAGAAATATCAACAAAGACAGCAATACCCTGCTTATTGTTATAACTTGCCAATAACATATTCTTGAAAACATAATAAATGTTGRGAGTTAATTTGTTAAGGGACTTGATTTATAAAGCTTTTAAAGGAAAAGCATGGTTTATCATTATATTCCAAGCATAGAGGTCCACTTTTCCCAGTGTCTTATTGGTGTAAAATACATTCATTGGGTGTGAAGAAATCCAAGTGGGACAATAATTGGGGCAATAAMTTGATGTGTGAACCAATACCATCATGGAGATGGAGTCCTTTATTTCTCTATTTTTGTTTTGTTTTATTATTCTACACTTGGATTAAAACTGAAATCTGAAACCTCAGGAAAGACTTCTGCTTTGTGCTCTCTCTAAATGCAGATGATTCTCCTAGCAAGCAGTTTTGAGACCACAAAAACAATAGGAAGTACATATTRTATTTCACGTTTTGTAAAACTGATAAATCATGATTCCCCAAACAATTAAATGTTAATCTAAAGCCTTACTCCTTAATACTAAGTAATTTAAAGATGAAACTGCTTGCTTGACTTCAGGTAAAAGAGAATTCTGAAAATAATTTTACCTACCTTTCTGATAACAATGATTTGTGATTCCATATCAAACCTCAGACAAAACAACCTATCAAGAATCATAGAAATTTGATGGTCTCTCCTATAGTGACTTTTCACYGCCTGTATTTTCAACAATTCTCCTCCTCTGATGGATGCTAAATCAAGGGTTACTCCCCTTCAAGGTTTAATTAAAGTAAAACACAAGTCTTGAAGACTAAACTAAGACTAACTTCTTGGTGATATTGATAYTAGGCCAACCTATCCAGAGTCTAGCATTGAACAATCATTATAGATTACTTTGCAATTCAAAAGAAGTGTATGTTTTCAACTAACCACGAAGTCATTAATAATTAGTTAGAGCAGACAATGGTGTTTGGATAGTATATATATATCATACTTCAAACCTATGAAACTTTACATTGGGAAATACCTAGATAAAGAAGGATTGGGAAAGATCAATTTTAAACAACATTTGATTCCTTAAGTGGATGAGTAGAMAAGGGKAGCACAAAAGGTTTTTAAGTACCATTTAATGAGATTTTTCCTAATGTTACATTTCAAATGGACCGTTTGCCAATTGAAATCTGTAAGCACTACATATTTTTTTCTACACAATYACATAAAAAAGCAGTTGTAGCTAAGCAACAGCGCCAGAAGTAATATATTATTGTTAATCTAGAATATCAGCTGTCGAATTGTTTTTTTATATCTTCTTTAGACAAACATAACAAAAGAATCATCAACGAAAACATTCGAATCAATGTCTTTGAAGGCAAGCTCAGAACAATGTTACAATTTATAAGATTTTTGGAGTATGGGCGGAATTCTGATCACTTTGAAATAATTTTTTGTGGCACAAAAAAAATCTTTGACTGTGACAATCTAACAACACCAAGACTTTGACGACCTGATTTAGGGAATTTTTATAAGTGTATAATGSAATTATGTGCTGTTCACTGTTGCATTTAAAATTGTACAACTGCATGTAATACAAATGACAACAAGATAAAAGGCAATTGAAAATAGTAAATCAGATTATGGCTTCCGATCATGATATGGGGCACTTCACAGTTTATATTATCGTACTTAGACACCYAATAAAGTCGTACGGGAGAGGTACTTGTACGGATGAAGGCTTTTAGACAAACTACAAATTCAAAGTTTCACACTGTGTATTATGAACCGTGCATTATGACGATGTACTAGCACCAGAGGGATTTATATAAGTTTATTCAAACGTTTATTATTTTGACGCAAATGTCGAGTAAAGACAAGTATATTTGTTGACCRTAATGCCACAATTGTCATCGCTAAATCACTCGGGTTGTTTCGGTAGCGACGTCAAACTAAAGCTAAAAAAATYACTACCACAAATCTCAGATTATATAAACTCAACTCCAGAGAGTCAAAAGAACAACTCAATTAAGATTACTTAATCGAAAACTACGGAGAACGTAAAGATCTTAAAGGGCCTTAAAGTAGCGGMGCCACTGCGTTGGTCATTTGGACGAATGTCAGACCTAGAAGCGTTCAAAAACCACGCATCGAACTACATTCAATTAAACGAAAGATCACCTAAGTTCAAAGACTCCGATGCAAATTTGACATACCTTGTATATTCTGCAGACCATTTTCAGTCAGTTCATAGKTTTAATTAGCGAGGAAAAGTTCCAAAGCACTCAGATTGGCTTCAACCYTGTACTGATGCAACGGTAATTTGACGCAGTGAGCCGTCAAGTCTGTTGAAACTTTGAACAGGGTCAAATCCCTTGTTAGGAGAATAAGCTACTTGATCAATCAAGGAAACATTATAATGTATAGCCGCATGTTTTCAAGCACTCATATCGCCTTCTGAGAAAAAAGTAAAATTGTCAAAATATCATACTTGTAATTACAAGTGAATTATCATTTAGAGTCAGATTTGCTCACTTATATGAATTCTTAAAAATGTCCACTCCTCATATTTGTTGAAGGCATATTCTCCTTACTTGTAATTRAATATAAGCCCGAAATGCGAGTGTTTTCTTTGCCAAAAGATTTAGTGCTGGCACTCCAAAATAAACAGTTTTTTCTGCTCTTTGTCTTCTGTTCATTTGTYCTTATTAATCGCTTGTAATGTAATTTTTGATGGCTGATTTTGTCCCACGTGCAAAGCAAGGAACATGATTTTTGATGCCTCGTGCTGTGTAAACTGGTGTCGTTTTGTTGAGCAAAAACAACAAAATATTTGCATAAATTTTCGTTTACATAGACGTGAGTGTTGAGCAGGACAATTGTTTATTTAGCCAATAATGTTTTCCAAAACGATTGATGTTTGTTGTTGAAGATTGACAGTGAGTTGGCATATATGACAATGCTAGGTATAAAAGCGCATAGAAGGTTTTTTGTGACACTTTTCTCTCTTTTGGTTATGGATACAAAGATACAAGGGATTATCTGTTACACCAAACAATTCAAAATTATCACATACAAAAGACTTAATTATGCTCAAGGGCAGGCTTTTCTAGAACATTTGAGAAAAAGACACACTGTGCAAACAAAAAATTGATATAATAATAATTATTTCATGTAATACAAAAAAAAGCAGATGAATGAAAATTGAAGAGGGCAATGAAAGTCTTATTTTATATTCTGGTCAAAAACAGAAGTGACTAGTGTTAGGCTGATACATATGTTCTTATCAGACTTTGATACTAGTTGTTAATGTTTAGTAACTTAAAATTACATATTCCTTTACAAAGACACGAAAACAATTTGTTTTTTAATGGACCTAGGGTCTAATAATGTCTATTAGCTTAGCAACTATTTCACAGTCAAGTAAAGATTTACATACCCTGACGAGTTTGCTTCTCTTGAACTATATGCTTCTGTACTTGCGTTGATGGATTATTGCATTTTGGTTTACCTCATATAAAACACACACAATTCCAATTCAATGCAATAAGAATTATAACCTCATATGTAGGCAAATACATCAAAAGAAATCAGTCATTAGAACACAAGAGTCCATTGAAGATTTTTAATCCTGTATATCCATGTAGRAAAATAAACCCCCTAGGGGMGGTATGGTGACCCTYKTCAAGGTCRACACACATGTGTTTGTAACTCTGCAGATTACAGCAGTACCTATCCACAGATTGAAATATGCACCTCTTTAGTGTGCTTTCATCTGATATGTTTTTTTTATAGATCTGACATATGTAATGTTTCATCAAGATCACTTCACTCTTCTTTATTGGCGCACCCCAGTTGATAGAAGGTCAAGGATATTATTAGCAATACAGCTGTTGCTGAGTATATCAAAGGTTCTTCCTGGATTAGTCATCACAACATGATCTTCCTTATCACTGCAGCCCTCCAAGTTTTGTTTTTATGAAATAAACACCTTTCTGTAACCAAAAAGAAAAAAAAGTCTGATTTAAAAATGGATTTTGCAYGGTAAGATGATTCTCAAAAAGATCAAAACAAAAACTATTTATAACGTCTTGTACAAGCATTGCTGTTGTTGGGTTTCCTKCACATAAATCTCAGTCCCCTCTCTCTCTTCACACAGGTACTCCAAGGTCCCAAATTTTGATGAGGGATATCAGAGTTGCCCTCACAATGATATTCACAATCATGATATACCAGATACGCATTATGACAATTGTTTCCATCAGGGTTAAAAAATATAAAATATCCTTCTAATAACAGAAATAAACATTCTTATACAAAGTTGTTAGGAGTGACGTATGAGAGAGACTAAGAAATGGGGAGGTGCAAAGAATAAATAGTGATTCTAACTGCAGATATTATAGTGSAACTAAATATAGGATGTGCTGCTCATATTCTAAGAAAACAGGAAGAGGATGTATTGAAGCAGGAAGGGATGATCCAGTGAGGGAAAAAAGGAGTAGGGGTCACCAGTTAAAATGATGGAGGGATGCCCATAAACAAAACAGCWCYCCCCMCCCYTYCCTAGAGCTGCTACTCAGAAAAGTTGCTCTGCATAAATTTTTAACTCTGCTAACTAATGTTTTCTTTATTTCCCCAGATACTTGTCCACAATTCTATTGTGTATGGTATAAACTAGAAATATTGAAAGTGGGCTAAAGTGGGATAATTGTACCATGAAATATAATAGCATATATCAGTCTGTATTTATTGACTAATACTGTATGTCACTGAACCAGAACAGTGTAACAAAAAATAATCCACACTGTTCCAGTTTATTAACATGTACACTTTTATTGGTAGCCAGTAAATAAGACTAAGGAATAAACTGTTTTGATTTGAAAAGGAAAAAATGATACAATTTTTTTGAGTGTCTTAGACAGGGTAATATTTTTATAAGAAATACCATAGAAATAGTAGAAATACCGTTTCACTGTAGCAGGATTAACGTGTTATCAAAAACTTCTTATTGTCTTGTCAGTTTAATT